GTCAACCATTCGGGATTGTTTGGCGGTCCCACGGGCAAAAAGCGATTGTATGCACATTGACATATATAATCATGTATATATATATATATCCATCTCTCTCCCTCTCTCTCTCTCTCTCTTTTTTTGTCATCAATACTGAGATGGAAGCCATCACAGCCCATATGAATGAATCCCACTTATAATTATCATGGAAGTTCCCAACATCCAAATTATATCAACATCAATAATTATCCAAAAATAATAATCCAATTAGTTATATCCATTCATATGATTGAATTATCCAAAATTAATGATCCATAATTTCACATCAACGATCATCTACCGAGCTGCGGTGATGCCACTGTAGCCCGCCATGGCGCCGTGCACTGCCATTTGCCCCAGCACCGAGCAGTAGGTGCTGTCGTAGGAGTTGGCCGCCACCGAACGGATCCTGAGCCCCGGGAGATCCCCGGGGACCGGTTGGGGCGACCTCCTTGGGGGCTGGAATCCAGTGAAACCAAAACCTGGTGATGTAAGCAACAAATATGATGGCATTTTATGGGATATATCTGGTATGGATTGATGAAATGAATGAAATCAGAAAGGTTTAAATTTGAGAAATCGTGGTGGAATTTTTGATGGATACTATGGATTATTGATGAATTTTGGCGGCCAACAGGTTGACGCAAACTGCTGGCACCAAATTTTGTCGTGGATGCAGGGTCCTAAGGGTGTTGCCCAATACAGCATACAGCTACAGGAAAATGCTGTCATCCCCGCAGCCTTTTGCTACCCAGGCACATGTAGGTAGGGTCAATGTACTTGATGGTCAGGGGCAACCCCAAGGTTTTGAAGCGTGCTGTGATGGTATCCTTCAACCAGGGCCCCACGTCAGCCAAGATCTTGTTGCCACCTGGCAACCACACAGCACACAACAACCCGTGCATTCGTCTGGACTTTTCATCATGATAGATCCATTACCCGATTTATGCCATCAACCCTGCGGCTTGCCCCAAGAAAAAAAACACCATTGTCAATCGTTAGTGGCTTGATCCGCGATTCGAAGTTCCAATCAAAAGTTCTCCAGACTCCATTTTTGTCAATTGATTCTAGCTGCCAAACCTAAATCTTTGGCAATTCCAGCATTCCTAGCCCAGTGAGGTCATGATTGAGGTCCGATGCTTGCGGCTTTGGCACCTGCATCCTTCTCCCCTGAGCTTTGAATCAGCGTATCTCCGCAGCCCTCAGCCACCACCATGACACAATGGCCCTTGGTTCGCATCAGGTGCTCCACGTGTTTCAGCACCTGCCAGGGAATTCCATGGGGCCAACAAGGGAAGACACTGGAAGCAACCGGGATTGAAAGCTCATGAAGAAGGGTGGAAATGACTCAGAATACCTAGACCGAAGATACGCTATCCAAAATCCCACTTTTTTCCAAGCCGTTGGGAAGATCCAAAAATCAACTACTGGCTACGAGCATTGGGGAGGATTCCGGGATGGAGAAGCTCAACATTTGTGGAAAAAGGTATTCCTCAGAAACTCTGATGCTGACACTCAACTGGGATATGCAGACTTTGGTGGGTGACTATTCCAGCGGGCGAAGCGGTTTCCGAAGAAACACTTTTCATTGGACCATTTTGGACCCGACTCGCGTCCCAGATGGTTGGTGAACCAAGTCGTGTACCAGACCTTCTCAAGGTCAATGTTCATCTCAGGAATCAAACCTGGAGAGTGATGAGTTCATGGGAGGGGCCCTCGCAGGAGCATCAACTGGTGGATACCATATATTTGATCATTTAACATAGCCATGGAAAAACACAAGTGTAAATAGGTAAATCACTTAGAAATGGACCATTTTCCATATGTACTATAGTTCTGAGTTTAATCACTGAATGATAAGGTTCCAATTATTAAATTTATATGAAATATATTCACTTTAAATCCCATTGAATCCCCTGATGTCAGTGCGATCTTCAGTGCCAAGTGGCAAATGTCCACATCCCGCGCCGCCAACGCCGCGTTCATTGCGATGAAGCCGCAGTGACGTCCCATGAGCTTCACCAAACCAATGCAGTTGGCCTCAGATTCACTGGGGACATGATGACATGGTTGGGAAACCCCCAAAAATGGAGGTTTGGCAAAATCGAGGTTTGAATATGTTTTAGTAAGAAAATCATCGAACTCGATGAAGGATTTTGCAGAGGGTATCCTTATTTCTCTTCACAGGCCGGTGATCTAAATGGGACGGCGTTCCATTGTAATGTTTCTTTTTTCAGACGGCACTCCCAAGTCCGAAAATTCATGGATTGACGCAGTGCATCTGCCAGTTGAAGCACCAAAATGCTTAGCCGTGATTCAAATAAAGATCAAGGCATGGTGGATGTTGGGATGAGGGATCCAATGAGAACAATGGTTTCTTGAATCTGGATCTAAAATGATCTAAATGGTTGTGGGTAAAACTGGATAAGACCCGGAATTAGCACCATGGGCTTTTCACCTCACAATAGCTAGTGACTATTGATGCCATTGGATGTTTCCCCATAGCTTGGCCCGTAAACCTGCCATTGAATTTGTTCAATTCAGGGCCATGTCTGGAGGTTTTATCATGTTTTTTTTTAAACGGAATCAATCGCAATACATGACAAGGTATTCATAATTCACAATAATTCATATACGGTTCATATACAGTTGTTTGACGCTTCCAACTCTCACTTTTTTGAAGCCAGCCCCTTCTACCCTGCCTCCATCCAAGAATTGGATAATGGGAACTTTTTTTCAGGAAAACCTTGTTCTTCAAGCTAAGCTAAGCGCAATGGCTTCCCATCTCGATTGTGTTTAAAATCCCATTCTATCATATGATTTTCTATCATACGAGTATGATATCCCATGTTTGTTGGTTCAATCAAGTTCAATCCCCATTCTTTGATGGTTAACCCCCCAATCCTTCTTGCTGAAGACAGCAACTCATTGCCGCCTCAGTGGCATTGCCCTTTGCCTCCACATAGGCCGAGTTGACCGCCTTCGTTGCTTCGGTGCAGGCCGTGTCGAAGCCAAAGGTCTGATCGATCATCGGCACGTCCTGGCAGGCTCATGGTTTTTCATGGGATTTCAGCGGTTCTTCATATGTTTTGATAACATTGTAGTAGGGTTTAAACCAAAATGGCATATAGAGCATTTTTCAACGGTTTTTCATGTGTTTTAATGACATTTTAGTTGGGTTTACATAAACAAAAATGGGACAAAGAGCGTGTTTAAATTTTTTTTGCAGATTGGTTGATGGGAAAACCAACCCAAAATAGGGATTATAAGCATGATTAAGCAACAAACATGGTGACATAGGGGTGCATAAGGGGGATATATTGTACATATTGGTAGGCGGGATCCAAGCTAGTCAGTCTATCCACTCCCAAATAAAGCACCCTTTTTTCGTCCAACCTGATCTCACTTCAGGAATTCTGGGAATGTGATTGAAATTGATGGAATGTGATCATTTTGTTCTGCACAATATGATGATATGATGGAATTCCCATGAAGATAGGAGTCGGATTGTATTGAATCGGATCTTTGGGGGGTCTGAAGGGGTCGGAGATAATGGGACACCAGCTGGGCCAAGGAGCATTGTCGATGGTCTTGGGCACACCCACCACTGCGCATTCATGGTCAATCTCCTTCGGTAACAGCCATGTGCATAACTATCCTAACATATCCCAACTAGCTAATGCTGCTTTGTAAGTCTTTGTAACTATATTTTCTCAGCCCTTCGATAACTCGGGTGATGATCGATGATTATCGTAGTTTTCAGTTTTCAGTGATCAAAAACTCTCAACCATGACGATTATCAACCATTATCCAACTCGCAACTCATCATGCAACTGCCCGAAAGCTGAAGGTTCACCGCTCTCACGGGTTGGGAAAATACAACCAATGTGATCCGCGGTGGTCCGATGCAACATTCGATCAACCCTGAGGTCCAAGAATCTCTATAGTTTGTTTACATTGGAAGGCTTCCAATTTCAATAATTCGCACTGGTGAAAAAAAATCAGCCAGAGTCTACCCTCTGGTAATTTAACATAACTATGGAAAATCACCATTTTTAATAGGTAAATCAACTATAAATGGGCCATTTTCAGTAGCTATGTTAAATTATCAGAGGGTATGAATCCAGGGTTGGACATTGTTGGGGCCCCCCAGCTGTGTCTGCCGGGGATCCATGGTACAGTCGAAGGTCTGCATGGCACCCTTGTGCGTGCCATCTCCACCTCGCAGGGTGGAAACATCCTGAACATTTCAGGGTGTCTGCGGGTTTCTGAAAATGAGGGATCCCAAAGTCACCATTGGTTTCAGCACTAAAATATATTAAAAATGTCCACTTTTGGATGATTTGGGGGTAGCTCCGTGATGGAAACTTCCAAGTGGGCCATGATTCTTGTTGGACTTTGATGGTTTCAGACTGAAATAGACTGAATGTCTGTGGTAGCAGGGTGGCAACTTGACCTTGGCGCGGCTGTTGGGTCAAAAATTGAGGTGCCTAGGACAAAGTACTGCCGCACGTTTTTGCTCTGCAACATCTTGGCCATGTCCTGGGTGGCGGATCCGGTCACACCATGCATGATGATGCAGGAATCTCTGGGCGCCTTCTGCAAAAATCCCATCATTCAATCCATCATTCCCATTCTGCACGTACTGGCCATATCTCTCTCTCTCCCTCTCTGTCTCTCCCCCTCCTCTCCCTCTATATAATACACATTACATCTGCCCCTGTATATTCGAGGACAGAATAACCTGCGCATGGTCGCATTGTGCGTCAAATAGTGTCTACTCACGGTATGCTGGGTGAGTCAATGACAAGAGCCGAGGGAAAACCCCCAAACCCATATTGGATCACAATTATTTTCCAATTTTTTCGCCCTACAAACGCCATGAATTGGGGTACATTCAATTGTCCGACACACCCACATTTTGTTTTTCATAAATCATAAATTTCAAGAATTTGTCCTTTAACTACATGCTTGGTTGTTCACCCAACCATGCTTCTAAATGTGCGGGGTTGCCACGATCGCTGATCAGCATGGTGCCACCCTCCATATGGATGTCCTGCAACTGGTTTTCCATCAATGGATCGGTTGCTGAGAAAAAAGTCAAGCCCGAAACCACCGTTTTCATACGTTTTTACCCGTAAATAGACGGGTTTCCGGCACATGTTCCCATCACCCAAATCTTGGAAACCAAAAAACATATCCAACAATGATGGGAGATCTACAGTTTTCACTCATTTTCCCTTGGCGACCCTTGAACATACCCTCTGGTAAACTAACGCAACAATGGAACATCACCATTTTTAATGGGTAAATCCACTATAAATGGCGATTTTCAATAGCTATGTTAGTTTACCAGAGGGTAGACGGATTTCGGAAAACTCCGGTGCCAACAAACCTCTTTCCCTTTGCGCTCCTTGACCAGTTCCGGGGTCAATTCCAGCCTGAGCTACGCGGGCCACGCATCGCATCCAGTTGTCCATTCGGAATCCGTCCTACTGTCGGATTTAGAACCACGGGGAGTATATATAGATATCTGTGTATACATATATATAATAAAAAAAAATAAATGTATATATATATATCATATATATATATATATATCTATATATGCTATGCATATATTTTGTTCTAATGTCTGAAATGATCCGGAATTTGAAACCCCAAACCACTTCGAAACGGTCCAAATCATCCCCACATTCCCATCTTCATCTGCGAAATGAAATCATCAGCCAGGTGGCCACGTCTCAGGCTCCATCACGCCCTTATATCCGCCCTTGATGCCATAGATCTTTCGGACCCCATAGGCCCAAAGCATGTTGACAATTTCGCGAATAACGCCTGGAGATCGTTGTGCAAAATGCAACCCTAGTGTTGTCCAAAATGGGACCAAATCTCAATTTCTCGCCAGTTTCACAAAAAAATAGTGATTCTAGAAGTGAATAGGCCATTGGATATGGGGCGACCTTATGTTCAAACCCCAACATGACGGCTCAGTGCAGCTGATGCAAGAAAGATGTCTTGCTAGTTGAATCTGGTCAAACATGCTGGTGGTAACATGGCCGGTTGAAAAAATGAACATCATAAGACATGAAGATCCAAATCAATGCGTGCAACTTTGATTTGCCAGCTTGGATTGCCACAATGTACCTGACTAAACTGCCAGCTTTTCCGTGCCGATCACAATATCAATCCTTGCAGGTAAAAGTTGATGAATCTATAATGATAAATAGGTCATCTATACCTTCCTGTTTTCACTTTTCTATCTTTTTTGGGGGGTTGCCATATGTTGCCATACTATATAACTTATATCACTGATATCCCATTGCAATCCCACAGTATCACCGTGTTATCCATTGCCCATTATAAAAACCATGAATTGTGCACCCATATTATCCCCACATTCTCCATTGAATCCTACTACATTATCGCTTGAATTATCCATTGTAATTATCCCCATAGTAGTTCTCAATTGAATCCCACATTATACTCTGCAACCTTATCCCTACAGAATCCCACTATATATTATATATATTATATAATATATACATATATAATATTTTATATATAATATATAATATATATTATATATATATACTATATATCATTATATATATAATGTGAATAAAGCACACAAACCACCTATCTTTTTTGATTGTTTATACCACCCATTGATGGTCAATTTGGGGATGGCGAGGTCCCGTTTGGTTTGCGTCGCCAGGTCACAATTCAGCCCGGGGCAAATGCCGCCGCAGCTCACAATGGCGGCCGCTGAGGCAGGATCGTGCGGGTCAAAGTGCAAGGTCTCCCGCGGCCCAGCGCGGGTCCTACACGCGGCTATGGGATGCCATGGGATGCCATGGGAACCACGGGGTTGGGCACAAGAATAGGGACTTGATGGACTTGATCATGAAATGTTTGGGTGGGTCTTTCGAACATATATGGAGGATTTCATTCTGAAATTTGGGATTTGAAGAGAAATTTAGGTGTGAGCCTGGCAATCTAGTCCCATCATGTCCCATCCACCTAGTGACACACCTCCATATCTTGGGACACCAGAGGAAACATTCCATCAGCGCTTCTGGTGTCACGTTTTTTGGGGAATTGTGCAGCAGTTACCCTACAAGGATGGGACTGCTCCAACGACAATCCACACGTTGGTAGCTCAAATCGTCTACCCGAAGTGAAGCTTCAAGATTGGTAGGATGGTAGGAGTTTGACCTGGTTGGTGGTTGAACCATCTATGCCACGACTGTGAAAGTCAACTGGGCTTTATCAATGCATTTTCTGGGGATGAACCATGATATAGAACCGCAAAAATCCTATGGAAACCACAGACCAGCAACCAAATCAACCAGTATCCAAGATAGTTCTGGAGTTGTAGCCACTACCACTCGCAGGAAGAGCCATCAGTTGCTGAGTCCCAGGCATTTTGAAGTAAGGAACATCCTTCCCTGAGTCAATACCTAGGCTGCAGGAAAGCCAACAGCCTTGGTTCCTTTTCTGGCGGCTGGAGCCGTCCCGCAAAACGATGAAAATCAGATGGGATCATTGTACTCAGGGTGGAATTCGGAAAGATTCGAAACCGCAGAAAACCAGTTTCATCCAACTTCTATGATCTTCTTTGGGCCTCTGAGCACTTTGGAGAATTTTGGAACCCCAATCCTAACCATCGTTATAATATGTTTTAATGATTTATACAGCCATATTATCCCCACTAATAATCCCCATATGGATCGCTATATCCTCATAATTGTTGGCGAAATTTCCCACGATGTCGCCATTTATACAGCCATAATCAAAGGTGACAACCCCAAATCTCCCCATTTGAGTTCGATGATTCAATGATTTTCCAGCCAGGTCTGACACCAGAGGCTACCCATTGAATATCCCATGATTAATGATTAACTATTATCCATCATTAACTATTATTCAATTGATAGTTCACCATTATCCCATGGTTGTTAATAAACTATTATCCTTGTTAATCAACTAGTATCCCATGATTAATTATTCATCATTAATTAACAAATATTAACTATTAACATCTATTAACATCTGTTAACATCTATTATCATCTATTATCATCTATATCAACCATTCAAACCTCCCCAACCCGCGACCGGGTATGACTGGGGCCACCCACGGTCACCCAAAAACATCGCCTGTGATGTCCACGACAAGTTGTCGCTGAACCTCACGTCGCGACATGTCGAACAAGGCGGACGGCTGCAGGTGCGACGAGACGACCATGTGGTAAAAGCATGTACCCTCTGGTAATTTAACATAGCTATTGAAAATGGCCATTTATAGTGGATTTACCCATTAAAGATGGTGATTTTCCATGGTTATGTTAGTTTACCGGAGGGTAATCCAGATAATTTGGTAAGATCGAGGTTGGTACCAGGTGGTAGTGGTAGAATCTAATGCCATAATAACATAAAACCACTAGCATATATGGCAGATAATTTTGCAACAATGAATTTCGTTTATGAAAAAAAAGGCCCGTGAAGGTTGATCCGGTGGATAGCCACCAATGGCGTTCCTTGGGAGAAGAGGGGTCTCCAGGATTCAGCCGGATTGTCTTTATGCCGCCCCTGGATCACATGTTTACAACAGCGCTGAGATGGGCATTCCCAGTTACAAATTGGTAAGCACGTCCAACTCAGATATATCCACCATAAATTCAAGCTAGCCGTAAGCATCCGTAAAGAAATTATAGATAACCAGCGTACCTATCTCACCCTCACCCCATTACCTATCTCACCCCATTCCAAAATCGGAGATCCAAGGTGCAACTTCACCCCCTTCAAGGTGGAAGGGATGTTGAAGGTGCCATAGCGTTCACCTTGAGAGCGGCTGAAGCTGGATATGCTTGGACTGCTGGAGATAGGTTCCCTGAAGTTAAGGATTCATCAGTAAAGTTACCAGCTATTTTAATCTATCTTATGCGGTATCCGGCTCATCAAGGGACCTGGGAATCAGTTGCAAACAGCTGTGATACACAACTCACTCGCTCAGCTCAAGAAGCCCAAAACACCCCAGTCATAAGGGGTTGGGGACCCAGTTTTGAACCAGTTGCTGAGTCCCTCATCATCATACCGGCCGAGAAACTCAAATGGAAGCACTGCAGAGATCGCAAGGAGATGTGGTCCTGCGCTTCGGTTTTGGACTCGACGTGTAGGCAATCAAAGACTAAACTAAACTACTGCACATGTACAACCACATGCCAGAACACACATGATATACCCTTGAAAATTAAAGAGACCATAGCTCCGAAGTCAAGAGCCACTCCCACAAAATCGCAGAAATGAAGCGGAAAATTAAAAAATCACAGCATCCTGAAAATCCTGTCCGATCGGCTCATGTAAGTAAGAGTGCTCGGCTACGCAAAGCAATTGGATGTAATTAGCTAATTAGCCAGCCTGTGCAAGCCCGCCGAAGTCTGAGAGTTTTTCGTTCACGTGCAATGGCCACACAAGTTGCATGAATAGAAATGAGATTCCATCAGAATCTCGGAATTCTTTCCGACCAGAATCATTATAACAATGTCACATCATCCCAGGCCCACGGCTAAACGTTGTAATCGAAACAGCGATTTGCAGAGATGGACATCCTGGGTAAGGCAGAATGGACCATTGGGACAGAGGCATGTCACTTTCTCCACTCCCGGTCTCGCAGTAAAGCAGGCACGTCCACCTCACGCCAAATTTCACCCGGTGCTGACCCATGCGACTCTTCCAGTGCATCTGCTAGCCGAAACTCGTAACCGCCAGTGTGCTTTCTTTGTCCGGAGGCACAATGAGAAATGTTTCCAGTCTTCACAGCCAATGTCCTCGCAGCGCTAGACATGGAGGCATGCAACGTCCACGCGTCACTGCTGCCTCGAACTCTGCTCCAAACTGGCTTGAACCCAGCTTCACGGTTGAAGCCCGCGTTTGAAAAAAAATGGGCGGTGTTCTCAGCCGGTGTCACGTACTCCAGGTTTTCAACTGCATTGTTTCCCTTGTTGAGATCCCTATGGTTCACCCAATTTTGCCTGCCCGAGGGAGGGGGTCCCAAAAAAGCAAATGCCACAAGGCGATGAACCAGCATGGACTGTCCCTGGAGTTTCATTTCGTAGTACCCAGACTTGTTAAGGTACCCTCGGCTCACATGTCCATGGAGCGATTTTATCCTTCCAAAGGAACTTATCGATCTGCTAGGCACCTCGGCACCTGAGCTTGGATTCAGCATCGGTCGTCACTCTTCCTGACTTGTTTCTTGTTCTTCCAGGTCTCGGAATCGAAACTCATGGCCTTTTGCTGACAAGTTGTTGCGACAACATCTCGAAACCGCACATCGGGGTATGCCAAGCAATTTTGCCACGAACGTGATTGAAGGGCAACTTGTCCAATCTTCATGGCCCCCCAGTACCCTGAACAAAACAGGCCTGGATTGAATGTGCCAGGTATCACGTCTCTGTGACGTGGCATAAGAGTACAGCTGGTTCTGGCTTGGCGTCACGTACTCCAAATTGTCCAAAACATTATTTGCCTTATTGCCATCTCGATGATGCACCAGCCAGGCCTCTCTACTTGGTGGGAAGCCATGGTGGGTAAGTTTGACCACACGATGAACTCTCCAAATCTGCCCAGCTATTGTGACAACTCTGTATCCTTGTGCATTTAGCGTTCCGCTTGATATAATACCACGGGTACTGCAAACTCTGCCCAATGAGCTGACTTGCCAGCATTTGCGTTGACTTTGAAGCGGCTGATTTGACAAACAACGAAGGGCCGAAGAGATGAAACAATGAAGGCCAAATTGGGGATGCCACGGTTGCAGTTTTGCAAATGCCATTCATACGAATCAATTTCTGAATGTTTCTGACTGCTGCTACAGGCTTGAGATACACAAAGCCTTTGCTTCACGCAAGGTCAAGCAACTCAGCAATGGGTGCGCGCCACTTTTTGTGTATTGCACGCTTTGAAACGTTGAAACGGCCTCATCTTCCTGGATTGCCGTATCATAAATGGATCCAGATTAATGTTAGTAAAGCAATAGCAAATCATCCCCAAATTTACATTATTTATGGGTGGTAGAAACATGTAGAAACCGTCAATCCATATGGGTGGTTTATGCCATTGCTTTACTAACATTAGGAATCCATGGCGCTCCTGAATGAGGTCGTCTCTCGCCAAGGCCCGCTTCTCTCCTTCTTGTCCATAGCCTGAAGGCTTCAAGATGCCCTGCCATCCCTCTACCCCTGATGAATCTGGCAAGAACACAGTTCTTTCATGTTCTTTCCGCAAAGAAAAACATGCTTAAAATGGATCAAATTTTACAATATGGGCAGTCGATGGCAGTGGTACGACATGGTATGACTATGACTGGCTATGTGCCCTCAGTCCAACGTGCCAAAAAAGGTCCCAACTAACATCTCCATTATGCCAAGAGGCTCAAAAGTTATATGTTTCCCATTAATCTTTGATTTTTGGATTGTGTATCCGAATTCTACATAAATATTGCTGGATACAGGCCCGTTAGCCCATGATTCCAGGTTACAACGTTGGTTTCCGAGAACATTTAGGAGGCAAGTCCCAATAAAACATACCACTATTTCAATATCTATTTCCCTTTTGAACATCACTATTTCTCCGTATATGTTTTTTCCAACCCCAAAAAAAACAACCTGATTTCCACACCATCCACGTGTGCCCAGCGCATGGCCATGGAACCATCCAAGATCTGCAGAGTGGTCTGCGGTACACGTAAGGTATCCACCTTGTCCAGGCTTCCGGAGTTATCTCGGCGCGGGGTTTGTAAAATGGCGGGCGGGCGGTCATGGCTGTCCTGATATAGGCTACTTTATAGTAATATCTAAATATGTAGGGGGGGTAAGGGTACTACTATCCTTAAGTATGTTGATTTATGTGTGTTTCAAACTTTTTAAGTTTAGGACCTGCTCGTGATATAGATGGGGCTATGAGTGAAACATTGTGCACCTTGCTGTCAAACATGTTTTGACTTCGGATATTTCTGGGTCAATTCTGGCTATACATGGTGCTACATGGTGCAAAAAGTTTGTGTGAACGATTGGCCAGAGTGCAAGTTGGACGTCTAGTGAAGTCTCCCCTTTGGCTATCTAGTTACCTAGTACCTAGCTATGTGGGGAAGGTGCAAAAAGTATTAAAAAGTAAGAACGTGTTGGAGGAAATGAACATTCATTTGCAAACCATTTTAGTGGTCCCTTGGGTAAACTAACAGTTCGATGTGAAAAAAAAACAAGCTTTTTTTTAATATATATATAATTATTATATATATATATATGGTATGCATATTTTTCCTAGGGAAACTATCAATTTTCCACATCTTTTGCGAAGTTTACCCTCGGGTAAGCAGGTTTTTGACCCGTCACCCCTTGGTCGCCTTCCGTGGGTCGCTCCAAGGGACGTCGCTTGAAGATTCCCCGACGCAAGGATTGCCTTGTTGGATCCACGGGTTTCGCATTGGCAGCGCCGGTGAATTCCTGAGTGCACCATGGCCATCCTCCCAAAGTTTATGTCATTTACAGTGATTTAATGGGATTTAATAGGATTTTATAGTGATTTAATGGGATTTAATGGGATTTTATAGTGATTTAATGGGATTTAATGGGATTTAATGGGATTTTATAGTGATTTAATGGGATTTAATGGGATTTTATAGTGATTTAATGGGATTTAATAGGATTTAATGGGATTTTATAGTGATTTAATGGGTTTTAATGGGATTTTATAGTGATTTAATGGGATTTAATGGGATTTAATGGGATTTTATAGTGATTTAATGGGATTTAATGGGATTTAATGGGGTTTAATGGGATTTTATAGTGATTTAATGGGATTTAATAGGATTTAATGGGATTTAATGGGATTTTATAGTGATTTAATGGGATTTAATGGAATTTAATGGGATTTAATGGGATTTAATGGGATTTTATAGTGATTTAATGGGATTTAATGGGATTTAATGGGATTTTATAGTGATTCAATGGAATATTAATGGGATATACCCTCTGGTAAATTGACATAGCTATTGAAAATACCACATTGATAGTGGATTTTCCCATTAAACATGGTGATGTTCCACAGTTATGTTAGTTTATCAGAGGGTAATCTGCGCATCTTATCCTATCTATCTATCCACCTATATCTTATATTATCTTATCGTATCTTTCTATCTACCTACCACCTACCTACTAACTACCTATTTCTTATCTTATCTTACCTTATCTATCTATCCTACCTATCCTTCCCATCCTATCCTACCTGATTACCTATCCTGCCTATCCTATCCTATCCTATCCTGTCCTATCCCATCTATATATCTGTCTAATCTATCTAATTTCTCTAATCTAATCTATCTAATCTATTCTAATCTATCATACGTATCATATCGTACTGTATCGTATCGTATCTATGTATCTATTACGCATTTTCATTTTCACTGGCACTATTTCAAGATCTCATCTCACAGAAGAAGTGGCTTAAAGGGGATTTCAGGACTACACCCTTGGCCACAATGGGTCAGCATTGTCTTCACCAATTCGAGCTTGAGCTTAGGTATTCAGTCATCTACCCTCTGGTGAACTAACATAGCAATGGAAAATCACCATTTTTCATGGGAAAATCCACTATAAATAGCCATTTTCCATTGCTATGTTAGTTCACCAGAGGGTATCTGGTGGACATTTGATGGATCCTGGAATCCCAACATCTCCCACTCCAAGTCCAGCCAGGTCACATATCGTAACTTACCTGATACCCTCTGGTTATGTCAAAATAGCTATGGGAAATCACCATTTTTAATGGGAAAACTCACTATAAATCACCATTTTCAATAGCAAACTGTTAAATTACCAGAGGATATCCCAACTTATCCCTCCAATTATCCCAACATATCCCAACACTCCAAGTACAGCCTGGTATAAGCCCATTAAATCATCCAGGGCGCCAAATTGGGCTGCTGCGTGGTGGTCCGCAGGGCCTCAAACCAGCGTCCGTTGACGTCCACGATGCGACTGGGCATGCTCACCTCGAAGCACAACTGGGGCGAAACCAGGTGAAGATGGCCATAAGCATGGTGAAATAAGCCACCATAGTTGGGATATAACAGGGTATATAGATATAGATATTGATATAGACATAGATATAGATACAGTATACAGTATACAGTATATATCTATTTATATTCATATATAACTATATAACCTCTATAACTAATTATCGTGAAATCACGTGACACCTATCCACCTGTAAACCTAGAACTCGAACTGCACTTCCAAGAAGTGATGGTGGGATGGGGATGGGGCGCAGCTGCCTGGAATCATTGGCCCGCCGTGGCTGAAAATGGACGTGTTGATCGTGTTGTAGATGATCAATGATAAAACTAAAAGGTGATAAAAGGTGATAAGTGGGTGAAACCTCAACAACTTGGCCGTATACTCAAGCGAAACTGCATGGAGAGATGATGAGTTCCCTTCGCCGTGGATCACAGACCCAAGTTCAGCATTCCGAGCGACCAGCAGCTTGATCGGCAAGTAGACAACCTTGGTCCATCAGTGACCCACGGTGGGCCACGTTGACTTCCGAAATGTATCATTGGATTAATTGGAACATCCACAGGACACTTTCTCAACAAACCATGGTGTTTTTAGTTTTTACCATGGTTTAGCATCAAATAGAGGGCTTTCCCTAAAAATCAATGTCCAGGGGCAACAAACTACCGACCTCAAGATCATATGCTCCCAGGCACATGTTGGTCCACCTTCCCCACCGTCAGCCCAGTGAAGCCAGCCATGGCAGCATGCACTGCTGCTTGGGCCAACTCCGAGCAGTAAATGCCTTGGCTTCGCCGTTGGGATCCTGGAAGTCCAAAAAATATCGGCCTCTGCCTCTGCCAGTTATAGAGTTGGATTGTAGCAAAGGCAGTTGGGAACTAAGCCTGTAGTCCCTACAAAGTGGTGCCCCATAGTTAGCTAAGTTGGTTTATAAGTCCAATTTCACTAGGCTTTAGGGGGGTTATATCTATAGATATCTATAGTTAATGGGGATTATAAACCAACAAACATAACTGGGGGTACCACCACTGTGCAGTTCCAATCCGGAGCCGTCGGACCCGATTGGCACCGTGATGCCCTCTGATTTTTAACATCGAAGGCAAACCCGATACCATCTGATTATGACTAACATAGCCATGGGAAATGACCCAGTTATAGATGGTTTACCTATTAAAAATGGTGATTTTCCATGGCAAACTGTTAAATAACCAGATGGATCCAGATGGTACATTGGGTGCTGGCCATGGTGAATCGTATATCAAAAAACATGGCCTCCTGCTGGCCGGTTCTGAAGAAAACGGCGGCCATGGATCCATCAAGTGTCATCCGTGCATCAGTGCCATGCTTCGGACTGCATCCTATCTGGGTAAATTATAATATTTCACTAACCTGAATTAAGGCCATTTGGGGATGATTTCCAATACTAACCATTATTCCAGTGAGGTCGCAGTGAGGTCGTTATAATTTACCCAGATCCTATCTATTTCTATCCATGACATCTCTGCAGTTAAGAGGCTGTCGTTGGGGTTGGCAGGAACTGCACGCACCTGGCGAAAGCCACATGCGAATCTGGAGTTACTGGAGGCATTGGACTCTGTGGTTTTTAGGGCTGTCACTTCTCCCATATGGCCATGGGACAAATTGTGTCAGAATTTATTTACTCCAAAATGTGGCTGGTTTAATATGGTTCAATATGGTTTGATATGGTTTGATATATATATATATAATATTGATACCAAACACGTATTTGTTTAGATGTTTTTAGTGGTTCTGTTGGCGCTGTATCTTTGACCCATGCCCACATCTGCCAGTCGCCTGATAAGTGGGATCCACATATTTGATGGTAATCGGGAGCCTTGGTTTGGTGCCCGCCCTAAGACAAGCTCCATCAGCTGGGTGAGACATTGGTGCCTTGAAATTGCCTGAAAATTGGACGGTCACTGTACAATATCACGAATGGATCATCACCAACATCGTCATCTCATCGTCGTCATCATCATCATCATCATCATCATGATCATGATCATGATCATCACATTTCTTACGGTGGAAAGTCAGAAGTGTTTGAAACCAGCACACATGTCAGTGAATTGGGTTCTGACTGCTTAGAACTGGGAGACGTGGCGATGTGTGTGGGGAAATGCCTCAGTGATTTACTAGGCAATCCAAAGCGTATGGCCAAACTTAGGCCCTCGGCCAAACAATCGATTCTTGAGAAACATTATATAATATATATATAATAAATAATATATTATAATATAATATAATATAATATAATACAATATATATAATATATATATAATCTCCATTTATATATCCCAAAAATCGCCGCATTCACCAAGGTGAATGCCAGTTTTTTAGTTCATCACCCAGCTGCTTCAAGGTCTTGAAGTGATTCACGATGGAGTCCTGGCACTTTCTTGCAGAGTTACCAGGCCATTTTGACAAAGATCGTTAAATCCATGAAGCCGGATAGGCTTAACGGACACCCCAGACTCTAGACCCAGAAAGTTGAGTGATTCTTGAAGTGTGTGTGAAAGATTATGAAAGTGTATAAACCCCTTGATGTCTGGTGTTTGAAGCGCCCAACTTTGACATATCGCCAATAGCTCACCAGAACTGGACAAATTGGACAAAGCAAACTGCTCTGCCCCAAATCGATCCGGTCAGAGATGACTTACCCTGCTTTCCAGCGCAAATTTTATCCTTTATATTATACGCTGGCTACTCACACTCAGCACCATGTTTTACAGTAGTTTCTGACGTGGGTGAGGTCCGTGTTTTTGATGGTGCCAAGTATTTCTCCACTAAAAAAGGCAACACATTAGCCAGCAATCACCAAGGTTTGCTTGAGTATTCGCCCATAAAGGGCGAGCTCATAATACTCAATAAACCAGGTAGCATAACCCCCCAGAAAACTAATCAATCAACCATCATCAACCATCATTTACGATCATGTATCAATTATATCCGCATTTTTGGTGGCGGTGGATTAAACCCACATTGTATGGTTATACAAATCCTCTCTTAAATCAACCAACATAAACAAGATTGCTAAGACGGATGGTTCGTTATATAAGTTACACAGTTCTACAACACCAAAAAATGTACCAATAAAATAAAGTATCAAGTATCCCACCAGATTTTTGCATCACATCAACCAGCATTCACAAGGGTCACCGCCCAAGGCAGCTGCTCCTTCAACCAGGGTCCCACGTCGCTGATCTTCTTATTGCCGCCTTCGTCTGTCCCTCCTGGTGGGGGCCCCTACTGGCCATCCGAAAGGATGTCACACCGCTCTCCCCTCGGGGCGCCACCTTGTAATACAAACATACTTGAAACCTCCATGAACGCAAAGGCAACTCATGAGACGTGCTCAAAGGCCTGACGTATTTATATGCATTTTTATAAATACATATATATATACATATATATACATATATATATATACATATATATACATATATATATAATATACATTATAAATACGTATGTGTATATATATATATATGTTGGGATGCATGTCTGGGTCAGAAATAAAATAAACGCACTAATTGCGCTGGATTTGATTTGAAGGGTTTCGGCCCGAATTCCGATCTGCTTTGTTGATGACTGACTTAACGAAACAAACGCCAAGCTCAAAGGCAAGACGTCTCTGCATCAGGTAACTGACACAGGTGTGTGTTTCAATCGCCAAATCGAAAACGGATGCAGCTGTGGCTTGCCCGTACAAGGTCAAGCTCGAGACTGCTTGATCAATTTGGTTTATTGTTTGAGCCCCTCATGGTTCCCTGGGCGCTAACCATCTGGAAAGCAACACGCAAAAAAGTGGCACGTGACATCGGCCAAAATGATTGCTCCCATCGTTCCCAAACTCTCACGAGTAAGCTTACCCTGGGCACAGAGACTTGAAAAAGGCAAATTTGCATGTATACACATTAAACAAATGGCTTTCCCATTAAACAACACACATCATTTCATGTTTTGAACCCAATAGTCAACAATCCCTGATATTACAATACCATACGGGATTTTTTATGGGTGGCAATAACCATCCCAGAGCACCATCTCCTGCACTCTGCATCAAGGTATCGCCGCAACCTTCAGCAATCACCACCACCTGAGGGCAATCACGCAGGTATAAAAAGGGGGCAATACCAATAGCGGCCAAAACAATTGTTCAACCATGGGTACCATGGTTCAACCATATGGCGGTATCATGTTACACAAAGTTTCTGGCCAAAACAATTGTTCAACCATGTGTAATAAAAAAGAAAAACACGGGATATGACAACCAAAACTCCTTCTCCATGAAATGGGGATAGGGATATGCCATGGGAATACCACAAGAACAAATGAATATGAACAAAAAAACATGTGACAGGCATGGTCAAAGGGAAGATTCACAATGTTTACCGCGGCTTAAAAGCCCGGATTTCCTGAAAATTTTCGTGTAGACCAATCCATTGACTGATATTGTGGCTATACCCATTAAAATTATATCCCATTCGATTCCGATAAAACGGCACTATACCTCCCATTTTCATTGGTTAAATCCCCACAGATAACCCACCATGCTTGACTGCTAAAGCCAGTAAATCCTAGTGACCATTTTTCATGCTTAGCTGCCCATTTTTCATGGGAGAATCGGAATTAATCATAGCATATCCATTAAATCCCATTACATCTCATTATATCCCACCATTCTTGATTAAATGCCCATTCTTGTTGCATATCCCATTCTATCCTATTCTATCCCATTACTATAGGAACTATAGAAATCTAATGAAATATATAGAAAATGATGGATGTTATACCATTAGTATCCATTGGTTATAGAAAAATATAGAAATATATATAGAAAAATCTATCCCATTAGTTGTACCCCCCCTATGTTTGGATCTTGAACTCCTGATGGAGAATCCGTTGAAGGTCCCCACGGCGTCCAAGGGACTGCGCTCCCACTGGTGCTCACTAGCTCCACACAATGATCTAAGACCTGCAGCGAAAAAACTCCGCCAGCCGTGCAACAAGCTTTATCCATGTAGTATATACATTCAATGGATTGGTTTAAGGGAAAATTTACAGGAAAGCCCCATATTTAATGGGGAAATCCATGGTTTCCTGCAAATTTTCCCTTAAACCAATCCATTGATACATACAAATAGATACAAAAAATAAACCTTGGTATATCTATTTAAAAAAATATGTGGTATATCTATTCTCTCTAGATATAAACCTCCAAGACTCCAAAATAGAAAAATAATGAAAAATAACATCCTGCCAAAAGAGTGGTATGAATTATGAATTTATCCTGTAAATAAACTATGAATTATGACTGTTCAATTTTTTGGGGGTCTGGATAGATACGATATGATACAGAGTTGACAGAGGTATTTGGACAGATTCTCGTTTCGATTCATTTGTTGCGCCGATCTTACATGATCTGGCATCATCTCAGGGGTTTGATGACAATGATCCATGCCGGTGCCTTGTCCAAATTGATATCCATCTCGGGCAACAGGCAAATGTCCACGTGGCGCGCAGCCAGCACCGACATCATGGTCAAGTAGCCGCAGTGCCTACACAAGGCTGCATGGAGATGAGTTGGCACCCATCTATCACCCGAAAAGGCCCTAACCCCCGCGCAACCATCTGCTCACCCCAACCCCTGCTCTATCAAACTTCAATCCCGAAATCTTTGACCTGGATTGTTCTACATAACCTAAATCTTCCTTTGTTTCTCTTCATTCCGGATCTATTCCCCTGCCGAAAATGGTAACTCAGATGAGGATGTAGGAGGAATCAAGGTTCAATGATTGAAATCATCCTTGGGCTTGAAATAAATCTTGCACTGCTATCCACCAACCATCCACCCATGGTCGGGAAACCCAAAAAAAAATCGTAGTTCCACGGGGGACCCGTCCCCAGCACCTTCCCATAAGCTTCACTAAGCCGATACAATTGGCATTGCAGGTAGCTTCCACGTAGGCCACTTCGATGGCCTTCAGGGCTTCAGACCTGCGGAAACGGCCCAGGTCCATTTTTGAGAATATGGGGGATTTGACCATACACAATAGGGATTCAACGAAATTTAATGGGATTTTCATAAGATGGAATGTTCACAAAATGTGATGTGATTACAATGAATTTACTTTTAATAAGATTTGATGGGATTCATTGGGTTTTTGTGGGATGTTACGGTATTCAATTGGATTAAATTGAATTGGATTTCATGGGGTTCTAATAAAGAACATAATAAGATGTGATGGATTTTATGGGATGTTACGGTATCTAATGAGATCTAATTGGGTTTAATGGGATTCAATGGGATTTCATTGGGTTTTACGGTAATTATTTAACTTCATAGGATTTGTTTTCACGCGGACTAATGGTAATTATGGGATTGAATTGGATGTCATGCAATTTGATGGGATTTTACGGGAATCGATGGGGTTTTATGGAGATACAATGCAATAATATGCAATATATGAAACCAACCATAACCATGCAGGTGTGTCTGACACTGATAGCTACAACATGGCCATTTTACTGATGATTACCCTCTGGTAAACTAACATAGCTATGGAAAATCACAATTTTATCCATGTTTAATGGGAAAATCCACTATAAATGGCCATTTTCAATAGCTATTTTGACATAACCAGAGGGTATTTGTCAAACTTTGGGAACCATAACGATGATGGTAACCCCTAGGGATGGCCATGGCATCATGGCCATGGCTCACCGAGCTTCAAGCGTCTGCTACCAAGTTGCATGGCCGTGTCGAAGCCAAAGGAGCGATCCTGGAACGCCGTGTCCAGTGCTGCGCAGTCGTTCTGCACATGGACAACCATGCGACCCAATATACAGTAATCTCCGATAACATAGCAACAAGTGTATGAATTTGGGGAAAATTGTAGTTGTACCTCTATTGACCCTATTGTATCCTTAGAGAAATTATAGGTAAAATGAGTCATGGTTTCATGCCGTCCAGGAGGTTGATGTCGTTGTCGATGGTCTTGGGGACACCGACCACGGCGCATTCCCAACCTCGATTCCCAAATTCGCAGCTCCAACTGGCTCCCCATTGGGGATTATATGGGATTATGATGGATTATGGATACCCATCCATAGCTTCTTCATGCTCCTGAGCTAGAAATGTATCTTTGGCAACATTGATTGCCCATCGTCGCTGCTGAAAGGGGGACCCATAGCCATTCCATCCCATTCTTTGCCACCAAATTTTGCTTTCGATTTCCCATTTGGTTGGCTATATCCTTATGGAAATGCTGTATCTATATATATATATATAAAGTATATGATAAATTATATATATATATATATATCTTACATTATCTCACCACATATCCACAGTAAGCAATTTTTTCTTGGAGATCTATGGATATCTCATATCTCCTGGTCCCAGCTATGCCACGGATTCCATGCTATTCCTCAGCTCCTGGCCAATCTCTTGCATCTTTTCATAGGTCTGATGGGCGCCTGCGGCAATGGATCGATCCCTGGCTCCATAAGACCTGCCTATCAGGGGGATCTTAAGGAATTCTCAAGCATACCCTCCGGTAAACGTTTACATAACGAACTGAATGGCCATTTTCAATAGCTATGTTAAATCCGCCCACACCGCTTTGGCGGTGAAGGCGTGCTTATTGGGGGGCAACAGCAACACTAAATGCTCAATGACATTTGTTAATATAGCAGTCGCTATATCAGCTTTAGCTGTGGGGGGGGCAAAAACGGTTTCGCACCGAGACCAAATACGGTGGTGTTTTCGACATTTTTCGAGGATTTTTGGGTGTCTGAGCGCAAGAGGGTATTGAAATGGAATTTTGGGTCATTTTGGTAGCTTTCCGGCAATGGAAAAACGGCCAAAAATGAAAAAAACATTGTGCATAGCAAGATTTTGCAGGGTTTTTGGATGCCAGAGCATTGAAAACACTGCAAAAACAAGTGTTTTGTACTGACGTTATAGCAAAAAACGTGTAAATTACCGTATGCTTGACTGGAAACATTACAAAAACACTGTCAAAAGCAATGTTTTGGAAGGATTTACTGCCTTTATGGCAAAAAACGTGTAAATTACCGTCTGTTTGACTGGAAACATTGGAAAAACACTGTCAAAAACAATGTTTTGGAAGGATTTCTTATATATATATATGTTGGAGTTGGCTACCGGCATTGGCACATGGAAAAATTGAAGAAAACACTGTAAATAGCGGTATTTTCAACGGTTGGGGAGATAAGGGAATTGGAAGCATTGTCGAACATGATGTTTTCGACCGGTTTTATGGCGACAAAAGTGTAAAGTACCGTGCTTTGAAGGAAACCATTGCAAAAACATGGAAACACATTCAAAGAACACGGGATTTGGGGGACTATCTAGGCGTCGTTGTCTAGCTATTTGAAATTCCGCAGCTTGGAGAGCCTCCAAGGGAGGGAAAAGTGAAAATTCCATAGCTTGGGAAGCTGTCACGGCGGGGAAAAGTGAAAATTCCCTAGCTGAAGCCCCCACGGGGGGGAAAAGTGAAAATTCCCTAGCTTGGGGAGCCCCCACGGGGGGGAAAAGTGAAAATTCCCTAGCTTGGGGAGCCCCCACGGGGGGGAAAAGTGAAAATTCCCTAGCTTGGGGAGCCCCCACGGGGGGGGAAAGTGAAAATTCTTAGCTTGGGGAGCCCCCACGGGGGAAAACCACCCTTAGCCCCTCTCACGGACCGAAATAAACCTGCGGTGTGGGCGGCCACCCCACGCGAAGCGGGGTGAATTACCAGAAGGTAATAGGAGGCTATATGAAATCAAATCATCGCAAGAATCGGGAAATTTACCCAATCCGACATAATCCAAAGAAAACATGGGGCTGGTGACTGTGGCATTGCGGATGATACACACTCATCCCATCATAATTGCCGACAATAAGAATCATCATCCCAATGCCAATATCCAATTATATAACTCTATATATGCTATCCAGATTTATCCAGAAAATTCTTGTGGATGTCACATAGAGGAATTGGTGACATGATGTCACACGTATGTGCCATGTACAAATCATGGTATGTGTGGTTTTTGTCTTCTGTCCCACAATAAAATCCTTCAAAAAATGGCATGTAAATCCAAACGGATTGACCATTCCCTGATATGGATACACCTCTGAGACGAAGAACTGGCGCGCCTTTCTGCGTTCCATCGCCGCCCAAGACAAAGTGCTGGCGCACGCCCTTCTTCTTCAACATCTTTGCCTATCACTCAGCACTCACCGGTAATTTAAGATGGTAATTGACAGTTGCAAATCTCAACTGCTCCTATCTTCATCTATTTCTACTGTAGTTGAAAAATACGAGTTTATCATCTCTATATTATATAAGTGGGTGATTTTCCATTGCCAGGTGAAACTAATTGCTGGAGGGCAATGTTTTAATGCAAAGCAGGTTCACTTCAATGTCAACCACAGAGTACAAAAACTGCCCGGAAACATAATTCCCCAGCTCTCTCTCTCTCTCTCTCTGACAATTTACATGTTTTGGCGACCATGTCGTTAGTTTTCAGGGGTGGTCACATTTATATAATGTCGATGAAACTACACACTGAGGAACTTCCTGGTGGCATCTTTTTACACATCCCAAGTCCTCGGAAGAGATATACGTCTCATTTTCTCCCAGCTATATCCCTCCTTAAATTCCAAATATATTCAATGATATGGAGTAAAAGAACACAACATATCATATTCATATATTCCAGCATGGCCCAAATATACAGACTGATAGATGGCTTAGAGCATGTTACACGTCGTATCATTTTTGGCCAAATTATAACAATTCACAAGCCTGACAATAGCTGAGATGTTGGGCCATTTGGGGATGATTCCCCGCAATCCTAAGCATCATTCCAGTGACGTCACATTGAGGTCATATAATTCAGCCAAAATATTATTACTATTAGAAATACATTGATTTGCATTGCAATGCCTTGATATTGCATTACATTACCATTATGGTCAATATTATTCATCCAAATCATTATTTCATTAACCTCTCATTTAAATATTAACACCTACATATCCGTGTACATATATATATATGTGGTGTCTATATATATATATATAACCTTCATACATACCTTATCCATCCGTATTATAATTCATCCATATGATGCTCGTTATATTACATTATTTTTAGCCCATATACATGGTGGTATATTACCCTCGTATTATATAATCCTGCATCCATATATTGTACGTTGTTGTAGTTCATCCAGATTACTATTACTAGTTACTAGTGTAGATACATTACATTTTTTTGCCAGGTAGCAATGTTATTACTATTATAGATATATACATTACATTACTATTATCAACACGATCATCATCACCCAGAACATTCTATTACTATTACTATTATTTATTATCCATATGATCACTATTTTTGCTATTACTACCAATTCATCCATGTATCCAGATATATTAACCTTCATATATATATATAAATAAGTAAATAAGTAATAAATGAATAAATAAAAATAGATAAATAGCTACATAAAAATAAATATATATATATATATATATGCATATTATCCATTAATATAAAATTATGATTTCAGCCAATAGGGAAACTCGATTCCTAGCTGGCCATGACCACCCCACCATCCCCGCCATCTCCAAATGGGGTGGATTTCCACGGTCGCTCACCAGGATTGATCCACCTGACCGCGATGGTTGCCAAAAACCAAGGGCTATATATATATATATACATACCCTCTGGTTATTTAACATTGCCATGGAAAATCCCTCATAGATGGAGGTTTTAATGGGAAAAACATCTATAAATGGGCCATTTTGCATGGCTATGTTAAATAACCAGAGGGTATATATTATACTGGTTGGTGGTTTTAACAATCTTGAAAAGTGGAAAAGTATTAGTCAATGGGAAGGATTATATATCCGATTATCATAATATATTATCATACTGGTTGGTGGTTGGCCTACCCATCTTGAAAAAT